TGCATCGACCACAATACTCGGTTGTGTGAGATCGGTAGCACTTATATTATCACTTTTAGAATAAAACACACCCGGTTTGTACATATTGAATTGTTATATATTTGTATACATATCTACTTTTCAATATGTACGTGACGCTTCTGGGAATCATGAGCGGCGAGTCCGTTCAACTGCAGCACGCGATCGATAACACGTCCGGTCAGCTCGAAGTTGCGCCTCTGCGATATCACCTACTACCCGCGATGGACCAACAACAATGGCAGAAACAACAGGCTGTTTGTCAATAACGCCCGCAACCAAATAAAGGATGAGTTCGTATAACGGATGGCTACTATAGCGTGTGCTCGCTCAATGAAGAAATCTTCAAACCCATGGGAGCCGAACTCAAAATGAACGACTCGAACGGCATGGTCGTTTAGCCAACAATGGAAAAAACGACTTGAAACTCAGTCGGCCATTGGCTAAAACGCTCGAGTTTACGTTGAACGACATACAACCGGAAACCATCGTGCGAAATTACCCGATCTCATTCCGTACTGCGAAGAGTGCATTCATCTCGATCAGCTGAAATCGACGGACAACGTTCAAGGTGAACAACCTTCCACACTGCTGAGAGCCGTGCCGGTGAAAATGGAAAAGTACAATGACGGCAGAACAGAATCGTTTTCATCGCGGCAGTACAAATTAATCCGAGGCAACATCACAGAATTGAAAATTTCGGTTTTAGATATTAAACATGATCCAATAAGTATAGGATATCTCAGCGATACGATGCACATACGGCAATGATTGAGTCTCATGGTCCAGGAACACGCGTTCAAAAATGCGCCAACATAGCGATCTCAGACTCGGGGACAGGCGCGGATTCGATGAACCCGGAGTTCAAATCGAAATCCACGCTATACATCCAAGTCTAACTCGCGTAACGTCATTGAAATCGTGAAAGGGATCAAACTCCGCTGGGCCAAACAACAACAATACCAAGATTGCTCCATTTACGTGCGGGTGAACGTTAATGCCTAAACCAGTCTGCAAGGAGTCACCGTGACCGTGGAAAACACAATATCGCTCGCCGAAATTCAAACTCGACAACATACATCTCATGGGTTTGAAGTGCACGTCCGAGGAATTATCCAATAACCAGTTGAAACCATTTAGTAATACATTATATATAAACGAGCTGAACCATCATCCCAATGTCACGCTAGCCGATCTCGGAGACACGAGGGGATTCGATCTGCCTGGCGGGGAAAACACGCTTACAAGATAACGTGTACAAACGACGAGAATCATCATCGAATCTCAGTTAAACTGGATTATTAACCTGGTCCTGACCTACCCCTATCTTATCATAGATAATAATGATGGTGGCGTCTCGCTAAAACATAACGGGATACTGCTGGGGAGGTTTGATCCTGGAAGAAGAACGTGGATGAGCATAGCACCATTACCAGATCAAACGGCTAACATGTTAGTCCCCGATCCCCAATGAGAAAAAAGCAGCGTTATTTTTACTAAAATATACTGATGTGCCAGACTCGTGGATCAGTATGATACAAGGTTCTACTCTTATTATCGAAGTATTTCTTGTAGATGCCATGGAGTAGATATAAACCTTCTGCATGGGTTAAAAATACGCTGGCATGATCGCCATCAACAAAAACGTTGTCGTATTTGTATAAAACCAGGAAGAATCCCCACCGCAAACCTAGATATTATGATATTTCAAAAGTATTTTATTGAACTCCAGACCATTTATATATACGAAAACTTGTACCTCATCAGCTTAAAGTATATTCATCAAACATTGACTGAGGACCAATTAAATATTATTTTATAAAAAGAGTATATATACAGAATGGGACTGTACCCAGTCGTGGATGAAGTGGCGAATACACTGGAAACCGTAGACGGGTTTCGTTTGTGACAGTGGGTGAGATCAAACAACAACTAGAACGTGAAAGCGATACTCGGTCGGCATTACAGAAAAAATATCACATGGCCGTCAATTCCGTGGACGGTGTTGACAGCGCTTTGATTTCAGTCAGCATGGGATTAGGCGTAGCAGGTGTCGGGTTATTATCCACCATCGTGGCCACACCCGTGGTGCTAGGCATCGAAAACACAGCCGGAGTGACAGGGTTGATGGGATTGACCCTAAAGTACGTGTCTCGCAGAGACTGCAACGTAAAGCATTGAAACACGACGAAATCAGAAGTCTAGCCGAAGCGAAGTTAACCACGATAGAAGATCATATTTCCACCACGCTCACCGACTCTAAAATCTCTGAGGAAGAGTTTCGTTTGGTGCTATCAGAAATCGCAAAATATCACAGAATGAAACAAGAGATTCAGACCAAGTCTCGTAAAAACGCCATCATTTGCGAAGACGAGAAAAAAAATTCATAGAAGGGAAGCAACAGGCCCACCAAGCCTTCATTACGAAAACCAAACAAATCATAGGAGATTCACAATAAACTGTTTCACGGACATCAACATAACGTAGCCAGCCATCTCAGCGAGCTGTAGGTAAATAGCCGAGCCGAGACACACACACACACTGTGTCTCACCCACAGCGCTCGCTCAATGCTACCGAGACGGCAGCGAGTCGACCCGGGGGAACTGCCGAGAGATGCGGTATGATTTAGTGGAAATCAACATAACGTTGCCAGCCAGTCGGTCGGCTGTACAAGCCGAGCCGAGCCACACACTGCGACTCACCCACAGCGCTCGCTCGGTGATACCGAGATGAAGACCTGGGGAGGAATTGCTGAGAGATGCGTTTCACTAGTCAGCCGGCCGTGCATCATCATAGCCGAGCCGAGAGACACACGCACACACACACACTTATACTCGTCCACGGTGCTCGCTCAAAGCAACCCCCGAGACGGTAGCGAGACGGTATGACTGCCGAGACCAGCGTTTCATTCAGCTAAAAACACCTCTCGCCTCGATAATATATAACACATACGACAATACGTTGGATTTTTAGCCTTTCGCCAGACTGACCCCATGCTCACTAAAAAGTGATTATTTCCTAAACTATTTGACCGATTTTTCATGCATCTCGGCAGATGGTTACACTTATAGCAAAACGGCATTGGGAACACTCTCGATGACTTCATTAGATTAATTAAGACCTAATTACGACAAAAAGTTGGACATTTTGCCTTTTCCCAACCGACCCATGCTCACTTCAAAGTCAATATTTCAGAAACTATTCAACCGATTTTCATCAAATTTTGCATGCACCTCAGTAGTAGTATCCATAATGGGGCTACGGGAGTAGGGACCTCCCCTTGGGGGGTACCTGGTCCCGTAGCCCCATTGTGTATACTACTAAACCTTTGTGAAAACCTTTCTTGTGGATGAAATATACTAGCCACATAAAGAAACTGTGCATTGTCAAAATATTATCCCAGTTGATAAGTACGAGAACAATGTCAAAGGTACATATAAACTTTAATGGAGGGATCATGAGACCATAACAAGTCGGGAGAAATTCAGTTGAAAAGTCAATCACAATGACGTCACGAGTCCACAAGCGGGACAGGGGTCAAACGACCATGTCACAAGCTCAATAACGGGTATGTCCACCATCGGCATTGAGAACAGCAGTGCATGGACGATGCATAGAGCCTATCAAACGTGCAAGGAAGGCTTGTGGGATGTCACGCCAGATTCTCGCAACTTCTGTTGCAAGGTCAAGGACGTTATCTGGCGGATGAGGAAGACGGCGTAGACGTCGATCCATCTCGTCCCAAACATGCTCTATAGGGGAGAGATCTGGCGAATTTGCAGGCCAAGGCAGTAAGTCAACGTTCTGGTGTTGCAAGAAATCCATAGCAACCCTTGCAGTATGAGGGCGGGCATTGTCCTGTTGGAATGTTATCCCAGGGCCATGACGTTGCAGAAAAGGAATTGCCACAGGTCGAAGAATCTGATCCCTGTAGCCCACACCAGTTAAGTTGCCCTGAACAATCACCAAAGGAGTTCTTTGGCGTGCTGTTATTCCACCCCAAATCATCACGGAACCACCACCAAAGCGATTCCTCTCCAAGACACAGGCCTGTGCATAACGTTCTCCCACGCGCCTATAGGTCCGTTGACGTCCATCACTGTGACAGTATTGTGTGGCATTCATTTGCTCTGTTTCTCTTTCCCGGAATGCACATGCAACAACGTATTGCACGTCTCAAGGACGAACCCACTGACGTCACGGAACGTGGCACGAGCATACATGTCACTAATCTCTGAGTTTAAATCCTTATGTATCTACACAGGTTTGATAAATTTAGATTTTAAATTTTTGTATGCACAGTTTCTTTACGTGCCTAGTATATATTTAAATAAATTACAGTGTACCCTGTTTATAATGCCACCCTGGATATAATGCCATGGTTTTACCAGAACGGATTTCCCGCCTATAAAATATCCTGGTTATAATGCCACCCTGGATATAATGCCATGTTTTTACCAGAACGGTCCTGAGAGGGTACGTAAGTCCCAAAACATTCAAAGTAAATTTTAACTTTCCGTTTTTTACTCTTAGAATATGTGTAATTTTAATGTATGGCCAGATATATCTAAATTGCTAAAAGCTGAGGGGATGATGTAAATCCAGCTAGGGCCCATGCAGGAAGCAAATGTACTGTCTGTCCCAATGGTCCCTAGTATGGTGATCTACTTTCAGTTGTTGGCACTCTATAGGCTGTTTTTATATTGTATTGTCATTTATAGGTAAAATATTTCAGATTTAATTACTAGTCTTAAATTTATTCCTGTGATAATTTAGGTATTTTACTGTCCTTCGTTGACAGGTCTTTTATATTGTCATTGTGTTTATTGATAATTTATAACTTTTAAGTCACAATATGGCTGAAATATTGCCGATGTGACTATAAATTTTAACTCACTCACTCATTTAACCAGAACGGATTTCCTGCCTATATAATACCCTGGCTATAATGCCACCCTGGATATAATGCCATTATACTCACGCTACGATAGTCCTCTTGACTGAGTTTCGCCACACCGATCCTTGGAAGAATATCCCGTGGGCGGTGAGCCTAATAACAGAAACAAACTTAATTGAATGTTAACAATCAAGTTCTCCAGAATATGTTCCAGAATGATTACAAATTCAAATGCCATTCGCGAAAAGATATCGTTTCTGCATATAGAGCTGTCATTATTGACTGCTGTCCCTATGCATTGACGGTAATATTTGTTTTAGACGAAATCATAAAAGTCGATGTCAAATTATGAAATGGATTCAGACTGTGATGGCTCAGTGGCTGATAATTAAAATATGAAGCCCGTTTCATCTTCTGATGAGGCTCTCAAAATTTGACCCAATGTTTTCAGCTCGTCTTCTTCTAGCTGAAAACGTACATTTTCTCGTCATTCTTTGCCATGCTATTTCATTTCGATGATATAATTCCTTAGTTTTGGGGACCATTTCATTGTAAAGTATGCTATATCTGGGATATATTCTCAGTAAATTACAGATTCATGCACACGTTGACACTGAGGTCCATCTGAGATTCGAACCCACACTGTCAGAGGGTTCATATAACATATGTTACATTTGACCACTTTCTAAAATGCAATTTGTATGCAACTTCCGTGCATGGATAAAGCGAGAAGCCATGATTTATCATGTAATCGTTCGTTGCTATGCTGTTTCAATTCGGATATTTTGCATAAAATCCCTTGCAAATATAATGGAATTCCAAAATAACCGTTCAGGTAATACCATGTAGCATGGTATCCGAATAGTATGTGTATTATACAAACTCACGTAAATAACTCTACCATGGCCAATAAAAGACAACTACGACAACATAGTGAAGGAGGAGGGTTAAATCCACGTATGTCAGTACAGTGGAAGCTGTCTATACCGGCACACGTCGGGACTGAATAAATAATCCGCTTTTGACAGCGTCCCGGAATGTAGAGCTGACATGGTTACCTACGGCTAGAACTAAACCAGTTTTATCACTCTCATATACATTGTTGTATAAGGTGGTTCTCTCAACTCCCTAATTACATGTACAAGTACACCCATACTGAACTAAGATTAAATTATCTTTGTCGGCAACCATGTAGTTTCAACACAGGATTACTGACTCCTTGCCACGCGCCGGATTAGACAGAGCTGATTACTGTATAAACACATATTCGGCTCATTTCATGCCGAGATCCGGAATTGACAGCTGCCGGATTGCAGAGTTTTTAAATGATGATAAATGTACTAGCCATGGACAGGACTGAGACTTTACGCCGATGTTGACAACTTGCCGGATTGGACAGCTGCCGGTTTTGACAGCTGCCACTGTTTGTTTCAAATGTCAGACATTGGAGGAGCCCAGGAACCCGATGATGTCAGCAATTTAAGGGTCGTAATGTGACCAAACATGAAACACTACCACTGGATTCTGGCTTTGGGAACGTATCTCTGAACAGTTGGATATGAACATCATCAGTTGGATTCCGCTCATATTACCCACAGTGAGGCGTAAATAGCTTTGCAAACATGGAGGCATTTTCGAGCATAATTAGTTATTGGTCTATAACATGCGCGAAATTGCTTGAAAATGTTCATATTTCCCCACCGTAGAAAGGTGCAAATATTTAATAGCTATCGATCGGTTATCATGTCAGACTTCCGTTGTCAAGTTGTGTTATAATCGATAAATTGTATGATTATTTTACGCGGCTTTGTTTATTTTTTCGGCTCAGGTTGTAAGTAGTGTAAGAGCATGGAAGCTTTTTTCTACTTCTGCGTGCGGATGTGGGGCTTGACGTCGCTGTTGGCAATATTGGTATGGACAATGTTGTTTTGAGACGTTGATAATAGGTTCCGTATTGTGATCGATGAGAGAAGTGTCTGGCTACAAAGCAACGTGACAATTCAAAGCGGTTCCTCGAATTACATGCAAAAAGAAACAGAAGTTTTCAAAACTGAAACAAATCTCTGCACTGAAGCACTGTCTAATACACGATACCAACTGTGCATTACTGTTAAATAGTGATGGTACCATGTGTTCGCCAAAAGGTCAATATCCTACCCAAACGAATTGATCACAAACACATGCACAGCCGAGTAAATTGTGCACATGTAAAATCGAGTGAGTGTGCATACGGTACATGTCAAATTAAGAGAGATGCATCAGATATTAGTTTTGTCGCTTATACGACATACATACAATGTCTGCTATAGAACTTTCTGAAAGTTTAACAAAGGTCTGGATAGTTGTAACCTTGATTAAGATACCTTTAGCAAGAATTGCCCCTTTTGGAAAGGTTCGGAACAAAAGAATGGTTGATTGAACCAAAATAATGAGTGAGTGAGTGAGTGAGTGAGTGGGTAAGTGAATATGTTTGTTGCTGTGTTGTTGTATGTTAATATCTTGAAGGCGGTTGCCTTAAAACGTGGCATCAGAAACATCGGAGGTTGACGTGTAAGAAATAGTTATCCACTTCTCTCTCTGGCCAGATCATCTTCAAGATTGTGATGATGAATTTCAGAGCAAATGTGTCTCATATTCCTTCATTTTTTCCCTATGGGGAATCAACACTGTATCCACACGGAAACTGAACCCATCCAAGTAATTAATGGCCAGAGAATCTTCAAGATTGTGATCATGAATTTCACAGCAGATGTGCAACGCATTTTATTCTCTTGTTGCTCTATGGAGATTAAAACTGTATCCATATTGGGAATTCAACCCTTCCCCCTAATTAATTGTCTAAGATTACTGATATGAATTTCACAGTACATGTACATATGTAACATATGTTTTCATTTGTTGCTCTATGGGGATTAAAACTTTATCCATATGGGGATTTGAACCCTTCCCAGTGATTAATGTTCTAAGATCATGATCATGAATTTCACAGCACATATAACCGGTTTACCGGTATTTACCGGTTCAGACATGAAAACGATACCTATCGCGATACGCTGATCGAAAACCGGTATTTTGACATGCATTCGGAAAACTTCGTAACACTCGGAAATCTTCGGATATTTCCGTTTTTTTAATTGTTCTTTTCCCTGTTTCATTTGTGCCAAATGTTACTTACATTTTTATTTTATCATGATTTCCCTGATGTATTTATACAGCTGTGTTCCCTCCTTCCATAAGCAGGGGCGGTGGGGTAGCCTAGTGGTTAAAGCGTTAGATCGTCACGCCGAAGACCACGGTTCAATTCTCCACATGGGCAAACCGTGTGAAGACAATTTCTGGTGTCCCCCATCGTGATATTGCTGGAATATTGCTAAAAGTCGTCTTAAAACCAAACTCACTCACTCCATAAAGCAACGGAATATCATCATCATCATCAGGAGGATCTGTCTTATGTATTATAACCATTGATAGTTTGAGTAGTCGAAGAGATAACTACTTGCAACAGTTATTAATATTACATTTGTCGTTTACTGCCGCACTCGGCAGTACACAATCTGTATGAAGGCGGTCTGCAAAAAAGGTCAGTATAAGACAGTCAAGTGATCGACACAAAGATCATCATCAGCATTCTTCAGCAGTAATAACGATTTGTTTACTGCAAATTTGACAGTTCATAATGTGTCTGGGGTGCTCGGTCAACTATTATCGGTTTAAACGCCAGCCCTTAGATTTACTGGGTTATGGTTAACTTTGTTTATTATTTTGAATCTCACCTGATGATTAAGCATAACTCCAAACACGGACGTGATTACAGCCTGTCCGAATGTTGAGACTGAGACAGCGATGAGAGTAGGAATCCCTTCACTTGGAAAATACCCCTGAGTAAAGCAGGATATACAGAAACAAACCAGAAGCATTGACCCCAAGTATATTCCAAACACAAGATATGAGATGACACGATCTGCCGTCCATGTAGCCTGGCACACCTTGTCATGCTGCCGGCGTAGTCTCTCCACCTCACCATCCTTCCAACTTCCGTCCTCATCTGCAGACAAAGTTTGCAGTTTCTCACATATATCCTCAAACTCTCTCTTCAACATATAGCACACAACGCTAAGAAACACTGAACATAGAAGAGCATGTATGTATGTCAGAATAGTAAAGTATGCATAAACGTATTTTAATACCTCCCACATAGTCGCATGTGGTTCTGCTGGAGAAAGTCTTATCTTAGTCATCAATGATGGTTCATGTCCATTCTCCTGATGGACGGATAATAGGGAATATATGGGGAATATGACTGAAACTGATAAACAGAGGTTCACGAACAGTGCAAACTGTTGTAGCACTAACGGAAACGTTGGCACCATTGTGATTTGCTCAAAACTCCTTGCAATCGCCGGGTAATGTTTTTGATTAAGTAGCATGAGGAAGGTGAATCCCCAAGAAGAGCGCAAGTAGGTGAGAATCATTAACAGTATCAACCACATTTTATGAGCATGTTCCCATTCCGCCAGAAGCATTGGAACCAGGCGTAGTCCGTTACCCCAGGCACACACTAAGAACACAAAGCAGTTGATGTTGGATACTGATATTGCCACCCTGAGCAACAATTTTCGGGATTCCGTTTTCTGAAAGTTGCATGCTTCGCAGTAAAGTCCAAACACCCGCAAATAGGTCTCCAGAGTTTTGAAGATGCAGCGAACTTTGTCCTTTGGAGAAGTGATTGTGACTTCAGCCTCTCTTGCCTTTCGATGACGGGTCATATTGCCTGACAACATTTCACGCAATTTCGTGGCCATGTTAACTCGTGAATGGAATGTACTGATCCATATTTGTGAGTAAATATGCCAGTGTCAGCATGCAAGGGAATTGCCGTCTTATTAATTTGCAGATAGCGTGCAGTACACCGCTCCATGACAGTTCTTCCCTCGGGCAAAATTGATGACTTGCTGATACGGGCAAAGCAGCACTGTTCTATTGTACAACACGGTCAATTGCGCCATTTCACAGTCAAAGCACAACTGCACCTGCTTCTCAAGAAACGTACATATTCAACACATGTGATCATTTCCATGGTTGTTTCAGTATCGGAAGGATTACTCATACACCTGTGCTGTCCTTGTTTCGGCGCGAGCAACTGTGAAAGCCGTGCGGACATGTCGCTGGAATGAATAATTGATTACGCTTCCACGACCGAGAGGTGAGATGGGGATATGCAAACAGAGAAAGCCATTTACGACAAATCCCAGAATTTTTCATGAAAACATATTTTTTTAGAAATAGGCATCGTGATAAGCAGAGAACACTTAACCCACAGGACAATGACCTACTGGGCAGTTCATAACTACAGTCAAACTTCTTACAAATGCATTTGTGAGTATTTAAATTGAGCCATATGGCAGCATTATGAAGCGTCTGAAGATATTTGGTGTGATAGAAGGTATCGCGGGCTCTTGAAGGTATAGGACAACTTTAAAGTGTTTTTGTTTTTCGAGGACTGTTCACATACATTTTATATAGCTAAGATAGACATATAGGTGGTGGTGATAATTATCAATCTGTTTCATATTCGTTTTTTTAAAAACAAACTCCTCGATCCCAGTTCACTGCAGAACTTACACATGGGAACTGTTTGTGTTACCCTGAACAATACAGACGATTCTCATTTTCTTTACTTGAAAACAAAGTACCCTTTCTAAAATATCTGTCGACCAAAGACAATAAAATAGGTAGGTATTTCACAGTTTTAGAATAATACCAAACTGACGAAAATTAAGACAGGAAGATACTTAATCCAACAGATTCATAATCGATTCTTTTCAGTTAAAACCAGGCTATAACCCACTAACAACCAAATTTGTACCACCTTACTGGGAATCAAGGGGTGACATGGATGAACTGAAACCATGATCTGAAAATGTGAATGTATGTCCGCTAAATCTGTGCCAAGGATGAAAAGCCTGTAATATAATTTGCGTGATCCCTTGTTATTGTTGTTCTCTTGTAGTCAGCCATGGATGATTATAATCGACGACTTCATTTTTGGGCTACTCAGTTCCACTAGGTTCTCTTGGCGGATCAAAATCACAGGAATACAGAAAAAAACATATACGGTCGGTTTCCAGTCATCTCCACCCTGAAGTGGCTGCATCCAAATTTTACTCCTCCTAAAGTCGGGCTTTGCGCTTGGAAATTGAGTGGGTGAGTGAGTTTAGTGTTACGCCGCACCCAGCAATATTCCAGCTATATGGCAGCGGTCTGTAAATAATCGAGTCTGGGCAAGATAATCCAGTGATCAACAGCATGGGCCTCAGTCTACGCAATTGGGAACCGATGAGATGTGTCTGACCACCCAACCCCGTTAGTCGCCTCTTACAACAAGCATGGGTTACTAAATATCAATTTTAACCCGGATCTAACACAAAGACAAATTATACTTTTGGACAAGGAACAAGTCAAACCACTCCGTTGAGGTTATTGGGAGAGAATGAAAATATTGGGTGTTCCTATGTTTGTTTGAATGCGTATGTTTTGAGAAGTATTGATTTAGTAATTCTATTCAAAACTGACAGCATTCAGCATACAGTACCTATTATAACTTGCAATCTTTGAGCAGAAGCTTGATAACGGTGTTAGTACCTACGCCGAAACGTCGTACTCATTGCAATAAAAAAGTTTACTATCCATATAAATTGGTTTTCCTTAATCTTTGAGGCTCCGTTTATCCAGACTTGAATCTTCCAAGGATGGAAGTACTATACATCCATGGGCTCAGCATTCAGTACAGCGTTGGAGCAAGGCTATATCGTGCCAAATGGTCTCATGCGTTTTTCTGAGGATATTTTGTCAACAAAACCATACATCATGAGGTTATCAATTCACCACGTTGAAGAGGCTCCGCGTCCACAACGAAATCAATTGATATTCCAAGGTATCGAGTTGTTAGAACAATTTACTGGAACTTGATATCTGCATAACGTTGGGTGCACGTACTGCACGTACTACTGTTCTTCTTTGATCCTAGCACGTTCATGTATCTAAAATCTATCATACAAATAAACATTAAATTATAAACCGTGCACATTGGTAGAGGATAAAAATCACAGATGTTTTGGTCAGTCAGTTCATGAAATGTCTGAAATTTGGCCCTGTGAGTTACACTATCTGACTGAAATGACTGTTCGTTGGTGATACTTCATATATGATATATATAGAATCTCACCCAAAGTGTCTTCTGATATCAATTATATCAACACGAGTTGATAAAGTTACAAGTATCCGAGGCTTGCCGAGGATATTTTTACTTTTATCAACGAGTGTTGATATATTTGACCCGCCGTGATGTTGATGGAATATTGCTAAAAGCGGCGTAAAACGAAAACTCAGGCAGTCAGTGATATATTTGATATCAGAAGACACGAGGGTGAGATTCTATTTATTATCAAAACTCACTCTTCATTAATTTTCAATGAAAAATGTACATCTCTGAACATGGTACTGCCATTAGACTTGCAGTGCAGCGATGTTGATTGTGACGTCATCAAGTACATGACGTCATAGCATTGTCAGGGCATTGTACAAAATCTACTGTCAAAGCGATATCTCCTAGGAGATATCGTTTGATCTCACACAAGCGATATCTCCTGTGGAACACAGTTTTGGATGATAAAACAAAATATGCATATTATTATTTTTTATTTCATATACATGTAATCAGATAAGAATCATCATTCATAGCACATACACAGAAGGGCAGGTCTTGGTACATACAATCATTACTTGTTACAGTTTAAGCTATTATGGCAAAGACTTTTTACAATTAGGCTTGGCCCTAATACACTTGCACCTATTTGTCTGGCACCTTTTAAGTCCTGAACAGCCACACTTGACAAAACCCTGCCCACCTATTTGGATGACATGGAAACTGCTTCTCGTAAGGAAACACGAGAGTCTTTGTTAATGTCTGTGGTCGTCAAAAGACGCTCAGGGCAAATGTCCTGTACAGTGTAACTGTATTCCGTTGCAGATTTTTGTTATATATGAATTTCCTTATCTTTGTGATTGTTGTACTGTTTTATTTACACTTGCGTCGTTTGGAAGGAGTCATTATCTAGGTAATATGAATGTTTTTTATTTGTTTTTTATTGCCGATGTGACGTTAAATATTAACTCACTTACTATTTGTTTTTAATCCGATTTGAAATTGAGTGTTGAAATAAACATAAACCACACCCACCCAGACATTTAGATATACACACGTATGTACAGCAACTACGCTTGTGTCAATACTGGATGACTGAGGGCACTTGCAGCTGCACACTTAACTGACGCTGGTATTTGTTAATTCAGTATCGATCTGGGCAATTCGTGGAATTAACAGTGACGATGAAACTTATGTCAAAGGACACGGTAAACACCATATTTTGGTTTGTTTGCTGACGTTAATTGCTATGCATTTGGATAATGGACTTCAAAATCCTTTAAGAGACGAGCCCACCGTCGGCAAGAGATTGACAAATATTCCCATAAACAGTACGTGCTGGGATAGGTTTTACAAGTGATTCCACTCCTGATGGCATCGTGTCCCGCATGTGCTTATATTCTTCAAACCCACACATGGCAGTGTATGTATGTTTGTGTTTTGCATGATTTATATGGAGATATAATCTTGTTTTTTCTTGTCTTGTCTGTAAGTAAGGGACCGGACGTAAACATGGTGGCTGTTCAGTTCCAATGTGTGGAAGATTTAACATGGGTTATATTTGGGATTTCACTTTCTCAATAAAGTACAGATTCTAGTACATTTGTTAGGTGGATTCGAACCCACACCCTCAGAGTTAGGCACTGGTCGCCAGCATACAAAGTCAGCCATCTAACCCACTAAGCCACCACGGCTTCTAAAAAATTGGTAATCGGTCAACTGGTTGTCGAGATCATGTACTTGGTGTACCCTTCTGACAAATGTTAATTGGCACGGCTCACATGGCCGAGAGATAAATGAATATACAATGCCATCTAGAAAGTGGTCATCGAAGGAGTACACTTTCTCGGTAAAGTACAGATTATAGTACATTGTTAGGTTGAGGGCTAAGACGGTTTATGTGTGCCACTTTTAATGAGTCTTAAAAGCATGATACACGGGTCTGTATATTAGTGGATTTACTGTTGACAAATAAATCAAGGTACTCTATTATATGGTCTCTGGGTAAACATTAAGAGTTTTAATGATAATTTCTAAAATATAATAAATATCAAACTGGGGTCCAGCCCGCTTATCTAGACTTGCCTCTTCGAAGGATAGAATTACTATACATCC